GAAGAAAAGCAAAAGAAACAAAACAACAAATAAAAATTGTGAGTAAGTTCTACATACGCTTCATGTTCCATTCTTCGGGGGATGGCATCTTCTCGGCTGGGATTATGTCGGAGGTCCTCACTCGGACAAACCGACTCATCCATCCTCGATCCTTTGGCTCATCTGTACTCGAGAAAAACACCTTTGTGGCCCGACGCTGAAGCCTTATTAATCCGCCTCGATAAAGACGGGGCTGTACAATCTAATGAGGTGGTCAAGGGTGAAAGGCATCTCCTCGACCTCATTCACAAAAAATCAGAACAAAGTCACTATGCGCCAAAAAGAAGGGTGGATTTGGCCTAGGGTTATTTGGTATTGGCGGCAGAAGTCGATGACCACGCGATCGACGGGACCCAGTGTGAAAGGGTAAGTGTAAACACTTAAAAACCCTTCCACGCAAGTAGTGATGTCCTCCTAGGGGGTAGGAATCACCACCTTTTTGCCCTCCTAGTTGCAATCTTTCTTCACTTGTTCGAGATTGCCCTCAGTTATCGAGCATATGTATCTCGACATTGGCTTGCATCGGCCAGGGACCGGCGAGGTTTTCTCAACTTTAAAATCGGAAGTATGGTCGCACGACCCAGGAACGCACTCCTCGATGCGTGGCTCCACCGGCGTTTTATCGCCGGCATACCGCGATGAAGAGGCTTGTTCCTTTTGGGGAACGTTTTTAGATGTTTTCGCCATTTTTATATGAGTTCAGAGAAAGAAGAAGATGAAGCTTGTTGTTTTAGGAAAGGATTAGCAAACGGATTCCGAAGAATTTGTAGAATTGAGAAACTTGAAGAAAGCGGGAAAGCTTTGAAGGTTAAGAAAGATTTGAAAATAAAGTTTGGGAAGATTATGAAGAGGATATATTTATAATATTGCAACGACGGTTCAAGGGCATCAGTGGCCGACCATCAAATGACGCTAATTAATGATTTTGAGAACTGTGCTGACGTGACGCTTTGGTCGCCTCCGTCGCTTACGTTACGAGGATGACACGATAATTGGTCGATAAACGAAATCAAAGACTCAGTTCATTTCTTTTCGTTACACTCTAAGAAACGAGGGGACTATCTGTATAGGGTAAAATCGGGCTTGCCCAATTTTGTCATTATTTTGAGATCAGAGGACTACTTCGAGGGTCAGCCTCGTAATGGATCAGACCTCAACACAGAGACAAGGTTCCGAGTTTGGAGATCAAGGCACCCATCGAGATCGAGGTCCCCGACTATCGAGATCGGATATGACCAGCTTCGAGCGGAACACAATAACGGAAAGGCGAAATATCCTTGATCGGTCGGAGATCACGACGAAAATCTCAGAACGGATCAAATCAAGGGTGGTTATTTGTATCAATCATGAGATTTACTTCCATAATTAGAATTGTCCTCAATTAGGATTCCTCTAGTATATAAAGAGGGATCCCCATCATTTGTAGCCCCACACACATTCATACAGATCAAGGCAATATAATATTTCTTTCTTCTGCTCATCAGCTCATTGCTCTTTAATTATTGTTCTTCAACTGTTGTTCTTTTACTGTTCTTGCTTTACTACTCTCGAGGATTCACCAGCTCGAGGATACTGTCCAAACGTCGTTTTGTTCTATATTCTTATCAATTCATCACTTATCCCTAAATTAACCAATTGGTATTAAGTGAAATCACGTATCCTTAAAACTACATTACACGTTTAATTGTTACTCAGTTTTTAGGGTAAACAGTGTTGTTGTTGTTGTTCATTGGGTTTCGACACAATAAAAGAAGGCATAAAATCTTGATGACACTACTTTATGATGATCCCAATAAGTCGTCAAGAAACTGGATTTTCACTTTAGGAACGCCAGGTGAATCTTGGAGAGAGCTCAAAAGCATACCTTAAAATATTAGACCATGAAAGCTAGGACAAGGAGTTAGACATTGACGGAGTTGTCTATTTCTTTAACAATAGCTATAATAGTAATTATAACACCACTTAAAATCTTTATGAAATGGAACAACGTAAAATATTATGAGGTAATTTAAAATGGAAAATCTACACAAAATACCCATTTGGGCCAAACGAATTACTCACTCGAAACTTTTTACATAATACACTCATGCGGTCCAAAATATTTACCCGGACCTTCCCTTAATATTTTATTTTTCCCATTAATTACTATGTGTCTTTTTGTGTTTTCTCTCTCCTGTGTTTTCCTATTTATCCTAACTTTTTTCAGACTTTCCATTTCTCCCATTAATTACTTTCTGTCTTTTTTGTAATTTCTCTGTCCTGTTTTTTCCTACATTGCACGTTCATCTCTTCGTCATATGTGCTTTTGTTTGAACTTCGAAGGCTTCAGAGCTTCTTTGTACTTTTATTCCTGCATTCAAAAATCAAGATTCACCGATCCAAAACGCCTCATTAATGAACTCCATGGATAAGTTAACTCTTCAACCACATATAGAGGAGAATCCAGGATTTAAATTTAATGGGTTCAACTTTTAAGATTTTAGCATCAACTCATTTTATTGTTAAAGTTACGGGTTCAAATCTAATAATTGTTGAGACTTTAATAGGTTTTTACATATAAATTCATATTTTGTTTAACTCATATCCGAAAGGCTACATCCGCCCCTGAGCACATACTGTGATTAACTAACTTTGACGATTATTATTACTAGGACTTATTATATGATACACAATCTAATGACAAAGAAAAAATAAAATAAAATAAGTTTTCTTTTAAAAAAAAAAAAGAAGAAGGCAGAATAGCCTAGTAAACTCTTGTACTTATCCAGGTTTGTCATCCCGGTCCCTGTATGCTATAGTTTGTCAAGTGAACACTTGTACTTGTTCGAACTCTATATACTAAACCCTTTTCTAAAGAGGTCAATGGTGCGCGCAACACAATCGTCTCCATGTTGGACTCCACGTCATTATTTAGTGCCACGTAAGAAATAATATGTTAAAAATTCCCCCCAAACCCTATTTCCCTCGTTTTATATATTGTTTCTCTTTCATCGTCTATTTCTCTTTTTACGCTCCATCTCTCCTTCGTCTTCGTGCATTTTTTCTGAGCTTTGTTGGGATTTTGAATGTAATTCTGTATGAGATAAAGAGGGTATCATGACCTAGTGACTGGTAGACTGAAAATTGAAATTGGACCAAGTTTTGGCAGAGTCAATAAATGACAAGCTTGTATTTCTTTTTTTTCTGTCATCAGTGTTCACATAGAATATTATAGTGTGCGCAAATGCTAATATTGTCATTGTTCATTAGGTTAGGACTTGATAATGGTAGGAATCCAAATTAGTCTTCTGATTTTTTAATTTTTTCGTGAAGTATGTTGGATTTCATTCTGGGTTGTGGTCCATCAATTTATATCATAATATTATGGTATTTTGGGGGAAGATATAGGAATGATGGATGCTTTTTCAGATAAAAAAATTAGGGGTCTTTGTTTCTTTCTTATGGAGTCCCGTAAATGTGAAATTTTATCAGGGAGATTCCAAACAAGGACGAACAACTGGACAAATAAAGGAAAAGAAGAGAGGTGATTTTATTAATACCCAAAAATAGCTGCAGCTAGGTTCAACAATGGAGAATCAAGAAGAAGGCCTATAAAAAAGGGGAAATGCAATTGTTGGGATTTCTAATAGTCTCACGCCCCTAAAAGGCGTGTGAGTCACGCACTGAAGACAAGTCAGCCATATAGTTTTAGTCAACGGTCATAAGGATTTAATATATAGAATTCGAGCGAGTACAAGTGTTCAATTGATAAATTATAGAGTATAAAGACCGGCATGACAAACCGGGACAAGTACAAGAGTATACTAGGCTATTATGCCTTAATAAAAAGAGGTAACAAAATGATATATTGTAAATTTTGCAATATTTCAGCTGAAACTTGAATAAAAACACATTTACCCAGCAATAGTATATTGTTACGGTATCAAAATATACTGTAAGAGTATACAGTTATATTGCAACCGTATTTTGTAATGGTATACATATATACCAGAACAATATACTATAATAATATGCAATTTTCAGCAGAAATTTAAATTAAAACACGGTTACTCAACAATATAGAGAAATTTTACTATGTGAGTCACATAACCAACATTACTTATGTGAGTCTAGTTTATTTCTTGACAAGTGGACTGTTACTGTATCACAATATTTTATAAGAGTATACTATAAATAGAGTATATAGTTATACTACAACACTATATTATATTAGTATATATATATACCGAAACGTTTTATGGGTAGGGTCGCATAATTATTTTGTATGGATAAATTCAAGGCAATTATTTTAGTTTCCATGGGTAACCCTGTATATATCCCATTTTAATCACCTACTGGATTCGAAAGCGTAGATTCCATAGTCACTTTATCAATCACAATGATATGTATTAGTACTAATTTTTCGTCTGCAATAAATTTGCCTATTGTTGGGGAAAAAACTGAAATAGTCAAATTTACAATTGGTAATTGAAAAATAGTCACAGTTTCAAAAATAATCAAAATTTACCCTTTTTTCATGTAAAGATAAAATCTCCCTTAAAAATCTGAAAAAATTCCAGCATAATATGCTGGAGTTTGAATTTTTTACATATGAGATTCCAACATAATGTGCTGGAATTTCATAATGTGCAGGAATTCCAATATAATATTCTGGAAGTTCATATATAAAGAGGAGCTTCAATGTCTAGCATATCATGCTGGAACTTTCCATACACTGGAGTTCCAACATAATATGCTGGAAGTTTATACGCAAAAGCTCCATAATTCAGCATACTATGCTGGAACTTTCCGTGTTATAGCAAAATAATGGCTATTTTTCAGTGACTTTGCAAACGCTTACTATTTTTCAATTACTAGTCCGAAAACTGGATAGCCCATGCTATTTTCACCCTATTGTTTGGGCAAGAAAATTTAGCCCATATATTATGATGTCAATTTCCGCTTAAGCATTAACATCGATAAGACTCATAATAAAGAACATTGGCATATTGGTTAAAAGTTGTGCCGGTTACAAATACTTCTACAGATTATTCTTATACAGATTATGTTGGAATATAAAAATATTACACAAACATTTAAAAAGTTATTATACGGTTGTTACCAAATTCTAAGGATGTATATAAATTTACTGTCCTGAAGAATGACTGGTGCTATTCCAAGCTTCAACTCATTCTGCTTCCATCTTCAAAATGGATAGCAAAAGCTCATTCCATGTATCAACAGGACCTGGCATACACCAATGCACACAATCAGCCAATTTCTTCTCATTTGGCCAATGTCCATAATGATTTGGATGTCCATCTGGCCTCAATAACATGGCTTCAGTTGTATCTAACAATCGAAACTTGACACCCCTTTTGTTGCCTTGCTTTTGTGCTGCCTTAAATTCCTGCAATTGAGTCAAATACATTTGTAATGTATATCCATCCAACTTAATATCTTGATTCGTGAAAGGTTTTGTTCTATTGCAATTCCCTCCTTTATTCCACTGCCCATTCTCAAAATGTTGAGGGGAGAATGGCCTTAGTATTACCAATCGACTCTTTAATTTCTCGAGGCTTAAAAGTGTCTTAAAAGCTGTACGAAACGCCATTCTGTATCCATAATAATGGCTAAGTTTTGTGGTGTTTTTTTCATTGCATTTGTGACATCCGATGAGCTGACCGTTTTGATAGTACAAAAATGGCCTAAAGAACCATTGTCCTCCGGAGATTATGACAATATCAGCTTTGTCAACTTGACTTGCCCAGACATCATCGGCCTTGTCTAGATACAGATCCATGAGACTGTTGTAGGAATAGCCATTAGGATCAGATTCATAGGATTTAATCAACTGTGGAGACCATAGGGCTATGATAGTGAAGTTGTAATCTTTAAACAACCATCGCCTGAATCTCGTGTCCTTAGTCTCTGACACGTCTACTGGAATGGCAGCCTGAGATATGTTACATAATATTTTGATCAAAAAGAATGTAGAGAAAAAAACTGCTGTGATTTATGAAATAAACTTTGATTTTGCCAATTCTCATATCTGTATTATGTCATTTAACCTTTAAAACTTTAGCATTTCTAAATTGGACTAACTTTGTTATTTTATTAGCATAGTCGACTAAAGTCACAGGGTTTTCTCCACCCTTATTCCTCTTATTCCCTGAACCACTAGGAAAACATCCTTCACACCATTTCACTTGCATAAACGAAAGCATCAGATTAACGCGAGTACGCGGCCTATAAGAACAGGTGATTCTTTATAATTGGCCTAATTTGGTAGCCTGGAATAGGTAAGGGTACACTGATAGTGTAAAAGGTCGTTACATTAATTGTTAGTGCAAATAAGTTAAATCCTCTACAGGTTGTCCAATCTACATGGTTGGCACCAGTAAAAGAGCAAGTTTAGCTAGTCCTAAATATATGGAAGTTTAAATGTGTAACGATGATATAAAGTCAGTAAATGAGGAATTAAATTTAGCGTTAGCTGAAAACAAAGTTATGGGCGTAGATCAGCTCCTGATGTACTCAAAGAAAAATACTTACGCTAGCTAGAAGGCACACCAGTGATTGCATAGTTTCTTGCTAGTGAGTCTCCAACAAAAGCCAAAGTCTTACCACGTACAAGTTCCAAGAATTGCATAGCATCAAATAGTGGCAGCTCACAATCATCTGGTTTCCATCTCCAGTGTATAAAATCACGATCCGGTCTTCCAAATTTCATGCAATTTTGTCGATCATCGATCGCGCAGTTTGTCTCATTTGTATAGTATGGCCCATATGGAAATGGTATCCACTTCCCCAAAAAGAGGTTGCATGTTTGCTGTTTTTTCCCCACTTTTTCTGAATGATTAATGCTAGTAATTCCAACAGACTGCAGTTGGGTGATTGCCTCATGATGCTTTGGCTGAACAAGAGGGACTGATTTATTGAGGGTTGATTCAAGATTTTGCAGCAAAGAATCAGTGGTAGTATTATATGAAGAGAAGGTGATTTTGACTAGGAGTACTAATGTTAAGATTGGTAAAACAACTTTTCTAAAGCATTCCAACAGCATATACATGTTCTTCCAATAGGGAACCTCTGCTCCACCACCCTTCATCTGTAAGTGACGTTTATGAAGATCAAAATTTTGTGAGCAATTTATATACTAGCTAGTACTAGGAAAATCAATCATAGAAAAAACCTACTTTTACTGTATATGTTTGGTATTATGGACTGAATGATTAATTATCTTGGTGGTATGATTCAAACTTGACTAATATTCCTGTTTTTGAATCTAATAAACAGCATATCATAATTCATACATGCAGGGGCGGATTTAGGGGGGCGGAAGGGGTTCACCCGAACCTCCTTCGTCGAAAAATTACACTGTATATATAAGGCAAAATTTATTTTTTACCTCTATATATTAAGTTTTGAATTCTCTTGACACCGCCCAAAAGTGTAGCTGAGTGGTCAAGGGGGTTCAAAACCTTTGTAAGTCATAGGTTCAATTCCTCCTAGCTACAACCCTTTTTAACCTTTTTCTTTTTGAACTCCCTTAGCAGAGATCCTGCCTCCACCACTGCATACATGCGCAAAGTTGCTTATTATAAAAAGGAAAAAGGAAAATAAAAAGATGTTACCTTGTATGGTTCAACAAACAATGAAAACTACTAGTAAATCCTTTGAATGTTGAAGAGCAAAATATTCTCAAAGATTAAAGGAATTCGTATGTACAATATAAATATATTGCGACCCAACACTTCAAGCTAGACAGATATTTTTGACACTAAGATTTATCTGAATGTTTTAACACAATCCACAGTCATTTCTCTACTGCCATGTAAATATATGAGCAGTACATTCGATATCTTATATAAACATGTTTGACTAAGCGATCGATCGTCGTAGGTTCACATGAGATGTCTTAGAATCATTAACAAAAGTGATTCACAAACTTACTGATGTCGACCATAAAGCTTAATTTACTCTGTTAGATAACAGTTACTCCTTTTTGATTAATTGGACAATGATTATGTTATCCATTTTCAATAACTTGCAGAGGAAAAAGGTGAAAGAGTTTGTTGGAGATTTAAAAGCATGGCGTAGCTTGGTGGCAATTAACTGAATGATGCTTTCCATTGCTTTTATCTCCTTATTTATGCACCATTTTTGCCTTTTTAGTACACAGTTTCACGTGTGATCCGCCTTTGATAAAAATAGTTTCCTTGAATTTCAAATTTCAAACTTTTAGTTACTCTTCTCATACATTGACCAACCACTTGAAAAGAACGTACTAATAAAAATCAAGCAAAATTATTATACTCGAGTTAAATTGATTGAATCAATGAACACGTCATGGCCCAACTCATTTGAAGCATACTTCGGCAATTTGGATTGAAAAAATGTGTTATAATCTAACTTGTCCGTCTTTATGTTCTAACAGATGAAAGCACAGTAACAAAGAAAACTCAAAATTTTAGCCCCTGTTTGGCCATACATTTTCCCAAATTTAATTTGAAATTTATTTTCAAATCCCATGTTTGGCCATAAATTTGACCCACATTTTGGCCAAAACTCAAATCACATATTTGAAATCTCAAATTCAGCTAATAAGCTGAATTTGGGCCAAATTTCCAAAACTTGGGAATTATATACATGTTTTCCCAAAATAAAGTTGAAAAATATGTTTTGAAATCGTATGTCCAAACACATTTTCATCTTCAAACCAAACTTCACCCAAATCAGATTTTTCAAAATAAATTTGGGATCTATGGCCAAACGCTAGCTTAGAAACTCAACTTAAAAGAATAAGTAAGAGTTGGAAATGTGTTTTTTTCTCAAATAGTTTTGATTATGATTTATGAACAACCTTGATATTCTCTTTCAGAGTGGACAAAAATACCAATTGAGTGGATTTAGCAATCTCTGGATATAGTATAGTTTATGAATCATGAGATAGAAGATAGAATTTCTTTTTCTTGTCCGTGAGTTTAAAAGACAAATTGCTTGAAAAGACACATAGATCAAACTAATAATTCATTTTCCCCAAATATGGCTATTTCACATATTTAATAAAAAAACCCTGAAAACTCAACTAAGTAACAGAGCTTTAAATAAAAAATAAAAAAAATTGAAACACTGCAATTCGAGTTTTAGCCTCATGGCGACTTGCCTTTCCTTGGAGGGGCCTGCTTCTATATCAAGATGACATTAAATTAATTAAATTGACACTAAATTGTGGCATTTTGCAAGCTAAAATTTCCAAGCCTATCTAGATCTCCGACCTGAACTTGTAATGGATCATCAGTACATGTTGGCTGTGTTGGTAAAATTTGTGTTAGAAACCAGAAAATCAGAAAAGCAAAGAAATATTAGTTCAATCAACAAAACTTAAAATAATTTTGAGCCCACAAGTTACTTGTGTGTCCTTTAAGAATATAATCGTTCTCAGTGTTGTCCAAGGTTTTGGATTAGTTCCACCCAGTATATAATGGAATAACTATTTCCTAATAGCGACACTACAAATCACAGAACTTCAACGAACTCAACAAATAGATCAAATCACACTTGATACTTATGTTTATTTAGCTAGTGTTTGGCCATAGATCCCAAATTTATTTTGGAAAATCTGATCTGGGTGAAAATGTGTTTGGACATACGTTTTCAAAACATATTTTCCAACTTTATTTTGGAAAAACATGTATATAATTCCCAAGTTTTGGGATTTTGGCCCTCAATAGTTGATTTTGGGATTTGGGATTTCGCCAAAATATGTACAAAATTTATAGCCAAACATGAGTTTTGAAAATAAATCCCAAAGTTATTTTGGTAAAACTCATGGCCAAACGGGGCCTTAGATAAGAGAGGAAAAGTTTTCAGATTTTTCTGTGTGTGAAAAATGAGGCAAAACCTCTAAATTTATAAACAAAAGAAGGATGAGATGAAGATACGCAATCCAAAATGTGCCTCTTTCATTTCTCATTCACACTCTTTTGAAAAATCCCAACAGGTTGCATATAATGTAACTTGTCATTTATCAAGTTTTAGATTCATTTCTCAAATGATCATATTTTAATTGCGTTTTGAACGAATTGAAAGATTTGTCTTCTACTTCCCTGAACTGGGAACCATCCTATCGACTATAGAGTCCTCAAAAGAATAAATGATCATTAGAAACAAAAATATATTAAAAATCAAAGTACAATAATGTATAGTTTAGCTCTCTTATTGAAGCTTTTCAACTAGGGATCTGGTGCCTTCCATCTTGAACATATGAAACAAGAAATCAGCCCAAGAATCAATAGGACCAGGCAAGCACCAATGAACACAGTCATTTACTACATTTTCATTTGGCCAATGCCCATATTTACTTGGGTGACCATCTGGTCTCAACAACATTGCTTTTGTTGTATCCATCAATCTGAATCTCTTCCCCTTCATCTTCCCTTCCTTCTCTGCAATCTTAAACTCTTCCACTTGGATCCTATATTGCTCCAAGCTTTGACCTTCGGACGCGGTCTCATTACTTCTGAATGGCCTTGTCCTTACACAATCTCCTCCCTTATTCCAGTCCCCACCTTCATAATGAGAAGGTGCAAAAGTCCTAAGTATCGCTACACCCTTAAAATTTTCTATGTCGTTGATAGCTTTAAGAGCAGTTCGAAATGCCCTTTGGTAGGCATAGTTATGTGGGAGTTCAGTAACATTTGGCAATCCACAGTACCTGCAGCCGACTCGTTGGTTGTTTTCGTAGTAGACGCTGCACCGGGCAAACCAGTGGCCGGCGTTTAAGATGATGTAGTCATATCCCCCAATTAGGGTGGTCCATTTCTCATCTGCTTCATCTAGGTAAAGGTTGTAGAGTCCAGTATGGCATGGACCATCTGCATCTATTTCTTTCGTTGAAACCAAAAATGGTGACCAATTCATTGCTAGGGTGAAGTTGTAAGTTGTGTATTTGTACTTTTTGAAAGATTGATCTGGATTGTCAGAAATATCAACAGGATATTCCACCTAAAAACACAAAAAAGAAGGAAAAGAAAATCAATTTTTTTATTACTTCTTTGATTTTGCTTTTAGATTAGTTTAGTCCTAACTATGGGACATGAAGTAGAGCGGTGTTTAGCAAAGCATCGGATTGTCCGGAGCAGTTCCGGGCTTACTATAAAGGGTTGTATCTAAACCAAAAAATAAGATTATCTTTATACAAATAGCCGGTCATATTATTGTTTACTTTTTCTAGCCATATACATAGATTATACATTCATTCTACACAATTATACACATATAATACATAAATTATGAATATATTGTACCTCCACCAACTATTTTTAGTTTAAGCAGTTGGGTGGACGGCTATTTAGATTAATTCTTCATATAAGAACCATGGGCATGGTTGTTCATGATTTGGTCAAATAAATCTCAAGAAGGGCACAATTATATCTTTTTTATTGTTGGAAAAATACTTCAAAGTTGTAGTGGGATACCTTAATTATTTAGGATTTGTTTTATTTAATTCATGTCTCAATAGGATTTGTAGTCAGAATTAATATAAGAATAGGCTTTCCTATTTCTAGTTAAAATAAGTTTCGTACTATTATAAATAGGGATATTACTAACTTATTTTTATGCGTGAAAATTTGTGAGAATTGTAGAGAACTTTCAAAAATTTATAATAAAATATTTTCCTTCATTTATGTCTTGACATTTCTAGGAAGCAAGTTATGACCCCATTCTCTAACAATTTTTCATGATACATTATTTTAAGGTGAAAAGCTCCATGGATCTAGCTAAATAGTCGTATCATAATATTATTGGGAACACAAGACACTTTCTAATAAGGGTGTTCGTAATGCTATACCAAAACCGTACCTAATTATATTCGGTATGATTCGATTTTTCTACTTTCAATTTTGGTTTATTGGGTTCGGTAACTTCGGTTTATTCAGTTTGAATATTAACTAGTGCATAGAGTCATAGACGGTAATATTCTTAATTAAAGNAATGAACACTTCTCTCGAACTACTAGATGAAAAATGCGAGGCCGCATTAATTCGAATGGCCGCGCAAAAACAAAGGAACGAAAGGTATTACAACAGAAGGACGAACCTTCGATATATCAGAGTCGGGGACTTAGCCCTAAGGAAAGTCACTCTTAACACTCGAGACCCAAACGAAGGAAAGCTAGGTCCCAATTGGTAAGGAAATAAAATGTGTATATGTAATATAATAAATATTTCGGTACGGTATTTCGGTATTTCATTTTAAAATACCAAATACCATACCTAATACCAATATTTTTTAAAACTTAAATCAAATACCATACCGAATACCAAAATATCGAATACCAAATACCAAAATTTTCGATTTCGGTACGGTAATTCGGTATTTTATTTTAAAATACCATACCTAGTACCAATATTTTTTAAAACTTAAATCAAATACCATACCGAATACCAAAATATCGAATACCGAATACCAAAATTTTCGGTTTCGGTACGGTAATTCGGTATTTATCAAACTACGCACAGCCCTACTTTCTGAGGATTAAAAAGCAATATGAGAAATTTCACGCTGGCCCCCAATGTTCCTCCTATTGTCTGCTTTTGAGCTTTTCTTTTCTTGTATAGTATTTTGTTGTTTTATTTTATGAGGGATGATTAACAATGAAATGAGAAAAAACTCTTTTGGACTAGATGAAATCATTTCCAAATGACAATGACTTTATTATTATAAATTTTTATTTGACAGTGGGTTTGTGACTAGACTGGCATCTCCGTTGAGCAGTTAAATTTGTTACGACGTCGTACTCTTTCATATCACATTTCATACTCACGACTGAACTCCCTTTCCGTCGAAAAATCATCAGTGAGTGCAAAACTTTACATTTCCAGTCCTTCATCTTACTGTTAATGGCCATATTCCCGTTAATCCTATACTTTTTTGTCTAAATTTATATGTCATATTTTTTAAATTTATTTTTTAAAACTACATATTTTCTTATTTAAAAATAATATAATTTTAACTTTTTAGTTTTATCATATAAATATTTATGTTTTGTTTTAAATCACAAATTCTAAAATTTTATTTACTCTTTTTAAAGTTGTCTCCAATTAAACGTTGTCACATAATTAGAAGAGAGGGAGTACATTTTACTAAGTATCTCTCAAAAGTCAAAACTTAAGGCAGCCCGGTGCAATAAAGAGTTAATTTTATCCATGGTCATTGAACTTTTGTGTTTGTTATCCAAAAGTCACTTTTCTTTTTTTTGTTACATAAAATTCATACAACTTTGTGTTCATTACACAAAAATCACTTTTCTTTCTTTTGTTACACAAAAATCATTTTACTTTGATCTAGTTATCACAAAAGTCACATTTGTACTTGAAAAGTCTATGCCCTTGGTATTATATAAACCTTCATATTTATGTAATACCTTCTATATTATATACTATATAATATATTTTTAACTATGTATTTTATTTATAAATTAAAATAACTTAATGTTGTTTTATTTATTATTTTTATAATATATTCATATATTTAATTTTTTCTTAACGTTAATTTTCAAAATATATTAGTAGCGTTATTAAATTTGTCAGTAACTTTAATATATATTAATAGAGAAATAAATCGGCAAGTATATTTTCGTGAGAAAATTCGCAGGTAAACAAACAAGAAAATGAGGAACAAATCATATGTTAATCTGAAGCAAAATCCCTAGATACTACATGCGATTTTAGCTGGGGATATTTTCTTGGGGATTTTCCTGGGCAATTGGTTAGTTGGGAAATTACACTACTAGAAATTCGAGAAAAACAGTCCAAAAAAATTGACAAATGTTGGTCGGTAATGGCCAATAACCGTCCAAAATGCGGCTATTAACGTGTGGCCGGCATTTTGAAGGTCGGAAGGGCATACCAACCAAAGTTGGTAAAAAATTACAAACCAATGTTGCGGACAAACGCACTCACGCAAGTGCACGTGATCGTCAAGTAATAAAGTAGTAAGTAGAGTATCGTTCCCACGAGGACTTGTGATTAACTATT